GGATCACTGTAGCGTGCAGTCGAGTGAATGCTTTCATAAATGGAGGTGATATAGAGATAAATTTAATTACGTCCTGATGAAGCTACGACCCCATTTATAACGTGAAGCAGCACCGGCGGTGTGATTGACGCCTGATGTGCACGGCTTCTATCCTAACAGCCTTCATAAGCAGTCACAGCAAAGTATGTGGTGGTTGTGTTCTTTTTACGAATGTGCAATATTTTCAAAGCGCACATTTTGTGTTAATTATAATGTATTTGTATGGTTTTGTTTCAAACTGACGCGTTTTTAAAATCACTGCCAGTTTAAATGTTACCTATTACATCCTGAAAGGTTGTCCCACCTTCCGCGTAGCCCAGCCAGGTTTGTTATTTACGAATGTTCCACTAAAGGGTCTGTTCAGGTTTTTCCTTAACTTATGGTTTCTCTAAATCTGTGGAAAGGTCATGCTTAATCACTATGGTTACGACTCCCCCTCCCAGTGCCTGCTCAAGAGAGGACTTGTTTACCATCTCTGCTCCAGACTCAATAACATGTCAGTCATCTGGAAAAGAACCTCCCCTCCCAGCTGCTATTGGTCCAGCAGACAGCTAACAGTGTAAACCCTACCCACCTATATTCGGCACCCCCTCCTTCTCCCCTGAGCCCCACTGTGAATAATGAATGATTTCCTAGCTGTCTGTCGGTCTTCCTACTTATTCTAAATGACTCCGGGAAGACGCACTGAACTTTGATCTGCAGAATGACTTAAAGAATGAAACATTGTTTGTTGGATAATTTGAACGTTTCGGCATGACTGCACCTGGTTGGTTTAGGGTTAGTGTAACATTTTACCGCATTACTTATATTTTCACGCGTACTTCATCTTCAGAGGTGGCAGTGGCCAGCTGGCTGTAAACATGTCACCAGCCTTCCAGTGTAAACAGTGTAGTAGTCTACTTGCACAGTGTGCTCTCCGGCAAACAAGACATGACTCGCATTCAGATGAGGAGAATTGCTGCACTGCAATCCTCTTCCTCTCAAGTAATGCACCAGTTTGAACCAATAACATTGAACCTTCTCACCCATCAGACAGACACACACACACACACACACCCTCCTGAAAACAAACAGTGTTGAAATTGAACCATCTTGTTATAAGATTAAAGCTGCTTTTTGGTTCATACAGTGTTGAGATGAGTGCTGTGGGTTCAGTAGGGGGCTATGGGTGGTGGGAGACAAATGCACTTCCTATAAAATCTGTTGTATGCCTACATTTTTCTCATATTGTATTTGCATTTTCCATGTCTGTAAGATTTTCTCTCCTCTGACTGCTCTGTAATCGTGTTTGCAGCTAGTTGTGGAAGTTGTTAATAGGGATTAACATTCTCCTTGTTGAATTCTCCGTAGCCTGGAACATTCTGCAGATTCTTCTCATAGCCCGGCAGCTGGATAATACCTTTAGAACAAAAACTAAACTTGTCAGCCTGTCTCCCTATTAGCAATGCTTCCTCCCCCTGCTGCTGTATTTAATGGTGACTATAGCCAGGGCCTCGCCAGCTCCTCAGAAGGAGATTCCACTGTGCGGATTGTTGTGCCGTTTACTACTAATGAAACGAACCTGGCCACTCCTCGTGTCGCAGCGGTCTGGTGAACAGCGGGGGTAGGCTGTTGGTTGGCTCCGATGTTTGACCAGACAGTGTTTGCGGAGGGAGAGAGGAGGGTTGTGTAAGTACTGTGAGAGAGGAACAACATTATAAGGTCCCCTAACCCAACAATCAGCAATCTGACTTTTCTGCAGGGAGGTGGGGGTGGGATTTGCAAGTTTTGAAAAGGTTACTTAATGCAGTGTGTTCTCAAAAAGGGTCAAATCCAGACCTGCTGATGCTCCTGATGCATTTTAGTTCATATTAAACATTTACCCGGGGGACTACAAGGATGATGACGACTTATCTTAAGAGGAGACCCTTGTTAGGTAGTCCCTTTCCTTTGAAGTAGTGGAAACCTACATTACCCAGCATAGCTATGTGTAGAGAGCAGCAGCGTGGAAATAGGGCTGCATTACGACCATCTATAAATAGGGGATTGTATCCTTGATACCACGGGTTGTTTGGTCACGCAGTGAAACCGGGTCGACTTATATGGATTTAAGACAGTTACTCCCCCTCCTCGCCTCTGTCTGCTTTCCTCTGTAGGAAGGTATGCATGTTTGGGATTTTTTCTTCAGTGAGGAGTTGTTTAAAATGATGCAGAAAGAAGCTCCAATAAGGCTCATTAGAGTTTGCTTTGGCTGCCCCCTTTTGGTAGGATTCCAAGAAAATGAAGCCACGCTGTGTTTTTTTTCTTACTAAATGTGCAGCACCAGTCGGCCTGCTCTGGCATACTAGAGTCAGCATCATGTTTCTAATCAAATCATAGCTGCTACATGCGAGTATGTGAGTGTGTTGGCATTTGAAGCCGTAGTTTAAAAAAAAGATCTTTGGTATTTGTACTGCACCCAATCCAAAACAGTTAGATACACTATTGGTGAAAATATACTGTTTGTGAAGGAGCCGCTCGACTCCTGTCGTCACAGAAAATGTGCGTAGAGGAAGATATACATAGCATTATGGCCTTTCCCACGCTGAGTATTATACTCATGTCATCATGCAAACACTTGTTGGGGTGGTGCAGTATAGAACTATAATTATGATTACGAATTATAATGTGGCATGTAATTAAACTAATAATTTAAATACGCTGTTCAGTAGCTTTCTGGTCATATAACTCATTCAAATTTTAGTGATTCCAGTACTTCAAATGCTTGAATTTTTTTTGTCATTAGCTACTGAAACAACCAATATGTGGCCCATAATAAAAACACTTATTGAGAATAGGTTCTTGTTTTTTTAAAAAGAAAAAACACATTTCTTAAATTTTTGTAACTAACTTAAAAATATTAAAGTGAAGGGAAATTTTGTAAATGAAAAAAGGGGAAATTCTAAATTGATTATTTTTATTTATTTATTTAAAATGGAATATCTGTGTAGGCATACATACTTTTACTTGCACATTGCAATGATGATCAGAACACCTCTTTCCAATCAGTTTAACACAGGTAAAGACCTAAAGGTTTATTAAAGAAGCTATAATTTAGTGATGGAGATTTCATACAACTGTGTGCATTACCTCCTTCAAAGAATATTGCTGATAATTTTGTTTTGATAATATAAGAAAGATGTATTTGAGAAACCTTGCAGAAATGAAAGTCTCAGACTGAGTATGCATTTATTCCGCAGCAGTGCTGATCTGTACCGTGAACCGTTTCAACCTGCACAGATGTTTTGTGAAGCAAGGGGAAGTACCCTTCCAGAGATCAGCCCAACACAAGGGTTCAATTTTCTTTACTGATTAACAAATTGAACACAAATGAAACGCAATGCACCCAAACCTGCCTTTAATTTAAAATCAAATAAACAAGCGGAGCAGAGAGTCCTTTTCTGCAGCGTACACAAATATTCACATATCTACATGCATGCTAACACGTTGGACACACATGTGCACTCTTCATTCAGACAATGGCGTGTGTTACGAGGAAGGCTGAAACAATATGAATGAAGTAATTTGTGTATTGTAATGGTTGTGCGAATTTTAATAATAATATAAAAATAACACATAAAACATATTGATGGCGTGTGTGTACTCGCGTTTTCTTTAAGCTCTGACTGCATGGAGAAACCACAGTTCCTCTGCCTCATTTTTTCACTTCATTTTATGCAAAGAAATTTATCTTGTAGTCAAAAGCACAACAATAAATGGTAAACCCTTACGTTCTCAAAATCTAAATAACAAACGTCTGTGGAGGCCGCAAAAAGCATTGCTCTTTCCAAATAGTTTCTATGTAAATTAGGCAGATTTAAGAAACGGCGATAAATAACAATTAACAAAAAACAATAGATTTATTATCTGTTACAGAGGGCAGCTTTTCCCCCCCTCCCAAGTGACTCCTCAGCTGCTATTTGTATAAAGTACAGTGTCACCAGGCCTTTCACAACCACACAGATTCCCACAGACACAGACACACACGGTCCAGGTGTTTTGTCTATGGAAGTAGGCTTATCTAAAACTAGGGCACCCCTGTGTCTCATGATTAGCTAGTGGTGGGAAACGTCTGCTTTCTTCTCTTTACATCTGTTTTTCCTGAGGAGACTTTCTGTGAATAGGCTACAGCAAAAAAAAAAAATGCTTTTGAACATTAAAAACAGACGTTTCCTTTTGCTTTTGCTGTTTTTCATATGTCACTGTTCATTTAGAGTAAGACAGATGGGATTAACACAAGTACTTAGGAAGACTACATACAAGCAAAGATCGGGGTTTTGTAGTGTGTTCTTAGCTGAATGAGTACTTTCTCATAACTGTAGTCTTTCCTGCATCAAAGTTTGGACTTGGAAACACTTATTCTCTAGTGATGACGACTCGTATATTAACCGTCCCGTTTCAAGCTCAGTCAGATAAATCTGACTAACTGTCTGTCCTTCCAAGCAATGGGAAAATGCCGCGCTTTATTGATAACATATTGTTTGCTGCTTGGTTTCTGAGTGATGCCCAAAAAACAGTGACTATTATTCATGGGGCTCGAGCTTAATTCGAAACACCCTGCACAATCATTTTCTGTGGGAAGTGATTCTTTGTTAGACGCTGTAATAGAAAGGGTGTGATTCTCTTCCACCATGACAGAATATTTGAAAGTAAAAGAATGCATTGTTCTTGCCTAAAACCAAGCACAGCAGGCCCAAGAAGTCAAATATCTCCTCCTTATCTCCTCCTTTTAATGCGATGTCTAACTTTTTTTTGCTTTTCAATTGGGTGTCTTGCTATTTCTCTTCCTACATCCAGCTTTCCATGTATATGGATGGAATGATGCTTTCTGCAGACCTGTGTATATGGAACATTATCCTTGCATACTTTCTTTGTTTAGGGTGTTCTCAAGCCATTCTATATGTCTGACACTTACTTACCGTGTCTTTCTCTGTCTCTGTCAGTTTGCCCGAAGCAATGTAGGCTTGCCTGTACGGACAAGGGGGAGTGTTGCCACAACCAGTGCCTCGGTAGCTGCACCGAACCCAACAATGACATGTCCTGCTCCGCCTGTCTCCACTACTACCACGAGGGTCGGTGTGTCCCAAACTGTCCCCCGGGCACCTACAAGTTTGAGGGCTGGCGCTGCATTACCATGGAACTGTGCGCTCAAGTGCATCTGGCCAGCGATTTTCACTTTGTCATCCACGATGGAGAGTGTATGCTCGACTGTCCCTCTGGCTTCACACGTAACGAGACTAATCGGTAAAGATGAATCCTTTATTCTTACTTTAGGCCCTGATCATTTGGAAATACCATGGTAACATATACGTTAACGTAAATACATTCACATTATATTAAGTGTTTTCCAGGCTTGCCCATCATTCTTAATACTCTGTATTTGAATTTGTAAGGGTTATAACCTGACTGCTATCAAAAGGAGAGCCACAGGTCTTGGTATTGTTTCTGAAGTAGATGCATGTTTATTCTGCAGTGCCCACATACACTAAAGCACTGTGCACTTAGGCATAATGAATCTATTTGCATGAAGTATCCTTCAGCTGAACTTCACCTGACCTCGGCTCTTCAAAAACTTCCTTTCTGCAAAACTGGAAGTGCTAGAGGTTTTAGAGTATGCGGGCTATTAATGTTTCAAGGTTTTTCCCAGACTACTTAGAAAGTGTAAAATGTGCTCAACACTTACCACTGGTAGATTTTACAGGCTAGCAAATAAAGGTATTAAGAAGAGACTTGGCTTGAGTGTCCTAAAACTTCCTGTACTTAACATCTCCCAACCAAGGATATATATATAT